AATCCGGCGGCGCAGGAGCCGGAGCGGAATCCGGCGGAGCAGGAGCCGGAGCCGGAGCGGAGTCCGGCCGAGCAGGAGCCGAAGCCGGAGCGGGGTCCGGCCGAGCAGGAGCCGAAGCCGGAGCGGGGTCCGGCCGAGCAGGAGCCGAAGCCGGAGCGGGGTCCGGCCGAGCAGGAGCCGAAGCCGGAGCGGGGTCCGGCCGAGCAGGAACGGCAGCCGGAGCGGGGTCCGGCCGAGCAGGAACGGCAGCCGGAGCGGGTCCGGCCGAGCAGGAACGGCAGCCGGAGCGGGGTCCGGCCGAGCAGGAACGGCAGCCGGAGCGGGGTCCGGCCGAGCAGGAACGGCAGCCGGAGCGGGGTCCGGCCGAGCAGGAACGGCAGCCGGAGCGGGGTCCGGCCGAGCAGGAACGGCAGCCGGAGCGGGGTCCGGCCGAGCAGGAACGGCAGCCGGAGCGGGGTCCGGCCGAGCAGGAACGGCAGCCGGAGCGGGGTCCGGCCGAGCAGGAACGGCAGCCGGAGCGGGGTCCGGCCGAGCAGGAACGGCAGCCGGAGCGGGGTCCGGCGGAGCAGGAAACGGCAGCCGGAGCGGGGTCCGGCGGAGCAGGAACGGCAGCCGGAGCGGGGTCGGCGGAGCAGGAACGGCAGCCGGAGCGGGGTCCGGCGGAGCAGGAACGGCAGCCGGAGCGGGGTCCGGCGGAGCAGGAACGGCAGCCGGACGGGGTCCGGCGGAGCAGGAACGGCAGCCGGAGCGGGGTCCGGCGGAGCAGGAACGGCAGCCGGAGCGGGGTCCGGCGGAGCAGGAACGGCAGCCGGAGCGGAGTCCGGCGAAGCGGCACGAGGAACAGACGCTGGCGGAGCCGCACGAGGAGCTGAGGATGGAGCCCAATGTTTTTGCTGAACGAACTCATCATAAAGTTCAAAGACTAGCTCCAGCATAAAAGAGTCCCTTTGAAACAGTTTGAAGAGGTGTGTGAAGTCTTCTTCGGAGTTTATTTGAAAACAGTTGAACGGGTGTGGCGGAGATGAGTCGGTGATAGCTATCGGGTGTGAACTTGGCTCTTCGCTAGGTCGAAGTCTGATTTTAGCCCCATTTCTTCCAGCAGCAGCGGAGAAGGCAGGATCTCTACATCCTTGTAGAGATCCCTCTGTGCCAACTCCAACTGCTGCTGGATCCAGTCCTTTCGGTCCATCTGGGCCAAGATGGTAGCGGCCTCACCTTGTAGTTGGTCGGGTCCTTCTGTCATAAGGTGAGGTGGTGGAGGTGGTGAGGCAGACGCTAGAGACCCAGGTAAGTTGAATGGCGAGTAATTTAATGAAAAATAATCCACAAAAACAGTCCAAACAGTAGTCCGCGGCCAGGCAGCACGGCTGAGCAGAAGCCCGGGCTCACACCGGTAGCAACTGGTCTTAAGGGCGGCACAGAAAACAACAACGACAATCTGGCTGACAACAAAAGTACGACAACGACAAACAATGACAAGGACCCGACGAGGAACAAAGGACACAGGAGGGACTAAATACACTGAGGGTAATCAGGAGAACAAGACACACCTGGGAACAATCAAGGGAACAGGACAACGAGGAGAACTCAGGACACAGAAACTCAGAATTAAACAGAGAACCTGACAGGTAAATAATGTGCAGCGAACCTCCAGCGTCTGTGATCAGTGAGGACTCAGCAGACTTCAAATGAGCCTCCTCTGGTCTGTAAACAGAGGACTTCAGTGCTGAAGCAGATAAAAATGCAAACTGCTCACACCCACATGCACCCAGAGGAATGCAGTCAAGCAGTTCCTCAGGTCGGCCTGTCAAGCCTGATGAGATGGGTTTGTGTTACAACACGTTGTAACTTTCCACACATCCCATCCCTTCCTACAACACTGAGGCGTAATCTGACGCAAAATCTGAGGCATAATCTGAGGCATAATCTGAGGCGTTCGCCCAGCAAGCTGAGCTGAAGTGACTCAGCAGATGCAGCACAGTCACAAATGCTTTGAGAAACATCTCTAAAAACTGAAATGGCATCTATTTTTAGTTCCAGTAAATCCAAATACTGATGTGGTGATCATCACTAAGGTACCAACTTATTTTGTTCCTTTGTAAAATCCTTTTAGTCGAATGGCAGATATTTGCTGATGAAGACTTGCTGCTCTGCTGATGAAGATGTCAGATATGATGAGGAGCTACAGAAGTGCCACTTATCATTCTCTGAATTTAGATTACAGCTGGCGTTACCGTAAAGCTCCGAGCTTCAGGCCACCGGAGCAGATCATCAATTAACCACTGAAAACAAGCTTCCAGCACTTGTGCTATTTTATAAATACCAGGATGGCAAAGAGCTGAGATAACAATACACGGCCTGCATACATAAAAACTACAAAATTACTAAATCTGTGTTGTTCTGTACTTTTACCTGAGACAAGGTGAGCTAATTTGTTAGATTGGTATGTGACTCTGGATAATTTACTCATGTTATGATTCTGTGGGAATCTGACCCGGTCCAAATGGGAATCAGAACCAAAATAAAACTGAAAACAGTTTTATGCTAAAGTTTTCAAAGCATGTTATTAAAATGATCTGTGATTTCATTCACATTTGGATGCTGATAGTCCATGACAATAATTTACTACAACAGACATAAATATGGCTTCCATGTGGTTTGTTTTCAACAAGAAGGAAACAGGAAGTGGACCAAACAGGAAACGGGACAAAGACTTGCGTCAAAGATTAGTAACCTGGAAGATCAAAGTAAATAAGATGACAGGCTTATAAATGGAAAGTGTCTCATTTTATGAATGATAACCTGAAGCTGTTATCAGACGGGATTACCTGCACCGAGCTGAGCCACCTCCTCCAGCTCCTTCTGCGTCTTTGCAGATGAAATGGCCTCAGGAAGTTTGAGCGTGAATGGCAGGATGTCTCTGTAATGAAAATAAATTCATTAATAATTAAATAAAATGATTAAATATGCTGTGAAAGAAACACAAACAGAACAGGAAATACAGCATGTTTTTGACAGTCCTTGAAGGACAAGAACATCCAGTAAAACATAAGAGTGTTGATCCCACCAGAGAACCGACCGACGCACTGAGAAGAGAAAACGCTCCTAACCTTTACCGACTCTTTGTTTCCATTACGCAGACAGATGTGAAACTCTAAATATGTTGGGACTTTTTCCAAACCCCCACTGCTCCAAGCATTTATGATACTCAACTCAATTTTATCCAAGGTGCATGTTTGCCATTTTTCCTGTTGCATCTATTAATCCCTGTTTTGTTTTTCTCTTATTTTTATGAGCATTAAAGAAACTGCTGACTCTGCAAACACTATTTTTGACCATGACTTTTCCACCCTCTTATGAAATGTCTATTCTCCAGTGAAGCCAGTGAAAATAGTTTGTTACCTGCTGACACAGTAGAAGGCCACGAGGTGGAAGAGATCTGCAAAGCTGATCTGAGATCCTTCCATGGAAAAGGCTGAAACAGACAAAACGCAGACGAGTTGAAGAAAAATGTCCAGAATTCCCTTCATGACAGAAATCTGATCATAACCAAATGTTTATGGAGCCTAAAACCAAAAGCTGTTAACTCTACCACACTGGGACAGCAGTTAAATTAAAATATCACGTAGCAGTCTGTGTTACAGTGGCTCTGAAGGAGTCTCTGTCTGAAGACAGTAATGAGAACAACGAAACATTTTGAGACACAGTTTGTGGATTTATCTGAGCGGGTTTGGGTCAGACGGTTGAAACCTGGACACGGTTGGTGTTTCAGTGAGATCAGTGTCCCAAACAGCCAGCAGGGCGATTCTGGAAGGCTTACAGCAACCCTGTTGAATATTTGCAAGCTCTTCTTAGACATCTGGCCTATGCATCAGAAACACGTCAGAAGATTGATGAGTGCACCATCTTCAAGAACTCTTCAAAGGATCTGAATTAATGAGTTACAACAACATTTCATTTCCCTTTGAGATAAATAAAGTACTTTTTAAATTGTGAAGCTCATGAAACTCCCAGGTTTAGCTAACTGACTTTGGGCTGAATAGAAATGCATGCCACACTTTGCAGATTTCTTTGTTAAATTTCTAAACCTCCCATTTTTTTTTCTTCGTTCTGGGCTACGTTGTTTTGTCACATAAAATAACATAAAACTATTCTTTCCTGGCAAAATGTGAAAAACTTCAGGGTAAAGCCAAAGTTAATTATTTTTTTTAAAGCTCTTAATTGTATTTTTGTGTAAAAGACGACAGCAGAGGCTGAGTGAGGATCTGCTGACCTCAATGTGAAGGTCAAACCAGGCCAAATTCTCCTCCTCCCTGCTTTCTGTGTGCCGTCGTTACAGCAGTGAAAATCCACCGCTGCTATGTTGTGCTGGAAACACTGAAGAGCTACTTTATTTAATAACATGAGCTTCAGATAAAAAGCAAAACCTGACTCAGATTTTACTATAAAAACAATTCAAATCAGAAACAAAATGAGTCAGGTGCTTTTGAGCTGATCTGTAACTTTTATTTAGACAAATTAAAACCGTAAAAATGTGTTACGGTTTTAAGTCAAGGCGTGTTGACCAAACAGCCTGTGAACTCACTTTCATTTCTCTCTTCTGTGGGATTATTTCTGAACTCTAATGCAGAGGCGGACAGGAAGTGGCATGAGCGACTGACTCACTGTGAACTGAGGACTGAGGTGAAGAATAAAACATTTTTCTGTTTGCAGATCTCTGTTTTTTTCTTAATGGAGCAAAGAGCAGCGACTTACAGTATGGCTCTCTCTGACATTGAAGTGGCTGATGGGATTTCTGACTGATCCTTATCCAGACGCACCGACAGAACCTTCCTCTGCAGAACCTTCCTGACCAGAAACACCTGCTCCGTGAAAGAAAACACCATAAGCCATAAAATCCTCCTTGATAACGGCGAAAGAGCCATGCTTGATGGTGACCTCTCACCCCTGGCGGCTGTTTGATCAGAATGCCGGAGGCCTCCTCTTCGCTGACCGCCAGCAGCAGCCAGACCTGGTGAGTCTGAGTCAGCCGCTCCAACACGCTCATCCTCCTCCGCAGCGAGTCGTAACCAGAGTCCCATTCCCCCACGGACCCCCTGCAGCGCGGCGGCTGAAGGAAAGCACCGCCCTGCAGCCTGCAGACGAGGGAAAAGCAGCCGGCCCACAGCAGCTTTGACATCAGCTGGCACAAACATAACAAATACTGCAAACAAACTTGTACGCGAAGCAACGTCATCCGTGAGCTGGAGTCACTAAATGTCCCGTCTCACCAACTTAAACTAAAACATACATCAGGTTTGAGTCTAAAAGAATTCCACAACTTGACGGCCTCCAGAGAAAGTAGAGATCAAAAATTTAGAGAAGTGAGAAAGTTTCTCCAGAAAACAAAAATCCATGCAGGAAACCAGCAGAAGTGAACGCTCGACACGATGTGGCAGTGAGGAAAGTGGGACGGTCCTCAAAATAATTACCCAGCACTTCAGTCATGTGTTCCTTCGTCATCCATGAAACACAATCAGTCATTTCAAAACATTTCATTTTGGAAGTTAATTTTTGTAATAGTTTGTAGACATTTAGTGAGAGTTTTTGTTGCTTAAAGATGACAATTTGTTTCAAATTGATGATAAACAACAACGATAAAAAGCAAAAAGATGAAGAAAGATGAGAGTGCAGGGAACGAGTTGAAGAATGAGGAGTTATCTGCTCTACATGCAGAAATACAGATTTTTATTTTTTCTGGCAGGAAGCCAGGGAAGTTGGGAAGTGGAGGCGTAACACAATCATGTTTTTTAGTTTTTGTGAGTCATGTAGAGGCACTTCTACATACTGATGGCTGTAACTTCAAATACCAGCAAAGAGTGAGTTAAAATAGGTGATGAATGGAGGAAATGAATGCATGAAACAATGTTTCAGCATCAAGGCCTGGGCAATTCAGACACCTGAAATATTTTTGAGATGAAAGACAAGAGAGATGTGAGATGAGAGTTAAACCTGAAAACAAGGTCAGCAGAGAGAGAAATGATTAGTACAGACAACAAAATGGATGCAAAAAGAGATAAATGGACCTGGTGGACAGAACCAACCAGGACACCTAGTGAGTTCAAAACGTATTCTCTCAAGCCATGATGCTCTGACATTGGTCGTACCGTAAACGGACATATCAAGGACCTGGTACTCCATGCTCAGTTAAACATCACTTGGACTAGTTGGGTGAACTCCCATGGACCCTGCAGGACCCTGCTGGACCCTGCAGGACCCTGCAGGACCCTGCAGGACCCTGCAGGACCCTGCTGGGCCTGCTGGACCCTGCTGGACCCTGCTGGACCCTGCTGGACCCTGCTGGACCTTGCTGGACCCTGCTGGACCCTGCAGGACGCTGCAGGACCCTGCTGGACCCTGCTGGACCCTGCTGGACCTTGCTGGACCCTGCTGGACCCTGCAGGACCCTGCTGGACCCTGCTGGACCCTGCAGGACCCTGCAGGACCCTGCTGGACCCTGCTGGACCCTGCAGGACCCTGCAGGACTCTGCTGGACCCTGCTGGACCCTGCTGGACCCTGCTGGACCCTGCTGGACCCTGCAGGACCCTGCTGGACCCTGCAGGGCCCTGCTGAAGGTCCAGAGTCGGTCCAGTGTCCATGACCAGGAAGAAACCCACCGTTACCCTTGAATCCGACGCTACACCTCAAGTCCTCTTCTCCAGAACGGTTAGGACAAATAAATTTCAAGATAAGCTACAGAAAAAACATCAAAACTACAAAAATATAATAAAAATGGAAATGTAGGCGCCTTTAAACAGAACAAACTAACATTTACTGTAATTTGTTCCTTAACTGAATGATTTCTGTCCTGTTACTAGATAGGAGAGTTTATTATCTCAATCTATTAGCATTCTGTTTCTTCATTTTAATTGTCTAACTAATTCAATAGTTAAATTCAAGCATCTGTCACTTTAAGAATCAGGTTGAAATAAAGTTATATTTTTAAAAGAGATATTTTGTGACTTGAAACAATAACTTGTCACATTAAAGTTTATTTTTCATGCTACATTGCTTCAATGATTAACTAAGGTAACTTTAGGTGACTGCAGAAAGAAACTGCTGAGAAAGTGCTAAACTTTATTCACTCATGTGTCAGTAGAGCACTGTTAAATTGTCAAACGTGATCGCATTAATAAAATAAAGCAAGCATAACCTTTCACATGCCGTCAGGATGACAGAATCAGTCCTACCCTTGTATCTCCAGCGGCTCCTTGTCCAGAGGTGGCGCCGTTTGGACCATCTCCTTCTTCAGCTCCCCGATCTCCAGCGCAAAGGTGTCAATCAGCTGAAAACGGACAGAACCAGAAGCTTTGACTGACAGAGGAGAAGAAGCAGCGGGGAAGGGGAGCAAACAAACCGAAGGCATTGCTCAAACAAAGTTTACAACACAAAGACGCCTATATGGGACAGAGGAGAGAGGAAGCAGTGATTCATTTTCCTGTGTCGTTTCCTCCAGGCAGGAAACATGGAGACGGAGAATCATCAACGAAATGACCAGCGTGACGCTCAGAGGGGGGCATTCCCACACTGCGGAGGCTGAAACATAAACACTGGGACAGGAAGGCCAGGCAGGTTTCACAGATTCATCTCAGCCGTCATGAACTGACATCATGAGTTCAAATGAAATGGGCTGAATGTGTAACAGGTTGAAGCTGGACATGCTTGGTGCATATTTTCAGTCATTACAGTTACTGTTCTGGGGAGAAGGATCTTTGATTATTTATCTTTGCAGAACTTCTCCAGATCTCACTGATGCTCTCAAACAGGTGGGACTGAGATCAAAATGACTTTTCACCACGGTGGATTTTATCATGTGATGACAACTCACTTCTACCAGATTTTATTGAAAATGTTTCTGTATCTTAAAGAAACAGGCCCACAGCATGACAGAGCCTTCACCAGTGTTTAAAGACAACATAATTCACCCTTTGATGCTTTATGTTCAGGTGCCAATTTCATAAACTTCATTATGATGGCAGACATTTTTCTTTGGTTTGCGTGTCTTTAATAAATTTTACAGAAACTTTATGAGCCTAAAATGTCACTCTCTTTCTGCTGTAGTTGTCAAAAGTAGAGTTTTGTATATTTTTTTAACTCTTCGCTTGGTGCCAAGAAAAACGTTGATCCTTGTTTAAGTGCAGCATTTATCTGTAAATATCAGATCTCGCTTCTGCATTTGGGCTTTTCCAGATGGAAGGAAAACAAACTCCACACCCTGGAGTTTCCCATTTCATCACAACATAAACGCCAGCATCAGGGTCAAGGACACCTTTTCTGGTGAAAAGACGCCTCCTTGTGGTTGAAACCTGCAGTTGCCTTATTGCATCCGCTCTGCTAATTACAGTTGGCACATGAGAAAAGGTGCAGAGTGGTTAAAGGGCACCTTTTCTCATGTGCCAACAGTAATTAGTGGAGCAGTTAAAGGCTGCAATAAGGAAACTGCAGGTTTTAACCACAAGGAGGCGTCTTTTCACCAATAATAAAGGCTTGAAGCCAGCCCAGTCACCTCCCCATGCGGGTCTAACTGGAACCAGCTGAGTTAATGCTCAACTGGTTCCACAGTAAGAACTCAATTACCCAACCTGAGTTCTTTACTGGGAGCTTCACCCGGCCCAGTTTAGGACCAGCAAAAAAAGAGACCAGTGGTGAGTTGACCCGAACAGAATCAACCAAAACTACAAGCCGAGATCCGTAATAGCAGATGTTGCACCCAAAGACGTCGTTTAAAAGCAAGAATCCTGCAGCCAGTAGCAGATCTGCCCGTCTTTCTGTCCTGAATGCGCTCATGAGCTGCAGATACCTTCTCACTGTCAGCGCTGCACTTCCTGTGCTGCTATTTCTGTCACTGTTGTTTATTTTAGCCGCGTCACTTCTTCATGAATTGAAAAGATGTGACATGTACAGTTGCCACCCGTTTCATTTTAGGCCTTTAATCGTTAACTCTGATAATGAAGAATGAGAAGCAGAAGTTTTGGATTTTTTTGTTGCTAATTATTTTTCTAATCCCTGTAGAGGATTAGAAAACAGATTATGCAAGCAGGCTCAAGTACTACACAGTCACCTCCGTTTTTCTTCCTCCACAGCATGAAAAGTTATTGGGCGCAGAGAAGATTGAAGGAGAAATGAAGATTTGTAAACAACTGCAGAGTGTTACATCAGTCCGTGGAAAACGTGGGAAGTTCCTGATACATGAAGGCCAGCGGACATTAAACGACTCGTTAAACATTTAAAAGGAACCTAAGTTCTGGTAAACAGAAATCAACAGCAAAGGTTTGTATTTCACTGACATTTATGGACCATCATTCTTCTGGGTTTGTTTCTACTTTCAGTCGTCAGGAGCTGGAGAGCTAAACAGAGCTAATTATAGAGCTGCAGCGCGCAGAAACACAGTTTGCTCCTGCAGCCGTAGATGGAGTCAGTGGGAAACTATGAGTTCAATTTTGACGCATGTACAGACACACTTCTGTCACAGTTGGTAAAGATAGAAAAAAAAGCTGTAAAGGAAATATCATCATCCTTTTAACTCAGAAATATTAAAACCAGACTGCGTCAAACAAACTTCATGAGGCTTTTAACAGCCTGCAGAGTGCAGAGTAGAGTAGCTGAGTGAAAGGTGTTGTTGTTCTACAAAGAAGAAAGGGAAAAATTTTACCCTAAACTTGTAAAGCAGGTGGACCCTAAAAGCCTTCCAGCAACAAACCGACTGTGCATCACTTGTGTCAATCTACAGAAATCCAGGCAAAATATGAAAGTCAAATGCAAACGCTTTTGATGCTTATATCAGTAAATAATAAAGTCAGCCTGTGCACCAAGAGGTATGAATATTTAAAGGCATTGAAGGTTTATAGCCTTTGCAACTTAAATTAAATGTCTGACATTCTGCAAATACTTCAACCAAAGCCTGCCAAAACTACCAGAAAGCAAAAAGTTACAATGTAGCTTCATGTCTTGGATTCCAGTTTTCTATTTTCATACTGCAACTAAAATAGCAGTTTGAGAAAAGAAAAACTGATTTACCTGAGAGATTAAAAATAGATAAAAAGCATGGGGCATGTTTACATAGTAGCACTGTGCTGGAAGAAGAAGACATGGTTTTATTTAAAGAACTGATTTCCATCTGCAGCAGAGCAGTGATTCTGAAACTGTTCAGTTTGAGTTTTTGTCTTGGCAGAATTATTTAGGTTTGTGCCACAAACCAAATGAATGCTGGAAAAGATCGATGCCAGCTGTGGGAGATCTCTAACCCTCTCAGAGAAGCTGTGAAAGTCCCTCCTCCCTCCATTCCTCTGGCTCCCTTTTCTGTCATCATTTCGGTCTTTTCCCACATCCCAGATATTGTTGTTCACGTCTCTAATTAGCACTAAGTCAAGCTTGTTTTCCATGCATGCACCAGATTCCTTTGTTTCACTCAAAACTTGTTCTGTTTCTGGAGAATCTGTTTCTTCTCTGCTCCTGCTTTCATCTTCAGTCAAGAGTCAAAGACTTTAGAGGGACTAACTGTGTGTAGAAGATCTGTTTACTGAGTCTGTTTGGACATAAATTCTTTGAAAAATGAAAGATCCCAAACCTCATCCAGGAGGCACGTTTTATTGAGTTGTTGTTATATATGCTGGAAAGATGTAGAGAAAGAGAAAATAGGAAACAAATTGCAATAAATAGCTGAATAGCTGTCCAAAACTGACTGTAACATCCTGTCTTAAATCAGTGTTTTTCTTTGTTGTTTTTTTATAAATATGGATATTTAATACTATGAAAAGCATTTTCTCCCTCCTGAATGCCTGTTGTTTTAGTCACACACACAGAACTGATAACTAGCTGACCGGCAGAATCACAAAATCCACTGAGCAGAATCTGTCTGACCACAAGGACTGAAACATTGTTCTTAAAACAGGTGTCCACCAGGAGGCGCTCAAGGGCCTCTCAAAGCTGAATGGAAGGTGAGGAAAAAGATGCAAACAAAGCAAACCAAAACAAAATTCTAATAATAAATCTTCAATTATAATTTTCCTTGTTTGTAAAATTGCTTTTATTCAAATTATCTTTATATAACAAAGGTTAAAATTGATTGAAATATCATTTGTCAAAATGATCAGCCTACTTCGAGCTAGCATAGCAAAGTCAACAGGGGAAAATTGTGGTCAAGAAAAAGACAGAAGGAAATGTCCAGCAGCCAAACTGCTGCAGAAAACCCAAAGAACTTCTGATCCCTTAAAACCAGAAGGTATGATTCAGAATTTATGCTAAACGAATGTAATAATTATTGAACAGTGAATAAAACACTGAACATGTTAAACGTTGATGTTTCTTTGCATATATCATAGCATGCAACCATTTGGGCTGAAAAAGCAAAACCTAATAGACTGATCTAAAAACAAACAAAAAAACAAAACAAGAAAATATGAAAGTCCTTGTGATCATGCAGAAAGGATTCAAAGCCCATTTCTTAAGGGCCCTTTAAGGCTTTGGGACCCCAGAGAATCACAGAGAACCAAGATGGACCGTTGAAGAAACTTCATTCAATTGTATTCAATAGTTTGATAAAGTTCAGTTTTGTTGCTGGATTTGTGTTTCTTTTTTACAACTTTTAGAAAATCAATCTAAAACATACTTGTGCACAAACATATTTTTGGCACTATTGAAACCCCTATGGACTGAGATCAACCAAATTTGTCTGGCTTTGGTTTTACTTTTCAGAAGGAAAATGGCTCCATTTTACAGCCTGTTTCCTGTTTTACCCCAGAAAGCCTCCATGTTGAGTCACATCTTCCTAGAAAAACAAACATTTTGTGGGACAGGAAGTGCTATCTGCTCTGATGCAGGCCTTACCTTAAAGAAGCTGCTGCTCCGGTTGGTGAGGCCGCAGGAAGGGCTTCCTGGTGGCGAGCCGGAGTCCATGTCGTCTTCCTGTCGGCGGCCGTTCCAGCCTGGAGCAGACGGAGATCTGTGGGTCAGAAACATTTCAGCTCAGACGCTTTGAGCTGTGGTGCAGCCTGAGGAAATTCCTGCTGCAGCCACAGTCGTCTCTGTGAAGCTGCTGGCCGGCTCGGATGACTTTATTATGACCGACTTTTCTTTCATTGTGCTCTCTGAGCGTCTGCCTCTTTTTCCACCTAATCCAGGATAATTACTGCATTCATTGATTCTTGCTCTTGCCGTCTGTCGTCTGGTTACCTGTTTCTGTTTTTCTTCACATTTCCTGCCACTTTATTCCCACATTCTGTTCTCATGTCCTTTAAACTCATTTTCCATCTCAGACTGTATTCCAGCACAGCTGCGTTCTCCCCCCACCCACAGACAGGAGGTTTCAGAACCAGACATCAACATGCATTTCAACGCATAACTTTACTCAGAAAGTCACAACTTTCTGCCTTCGCAGTTTGTTTCTCTGTGATTATGTTTATAAATGACTCGTTGCGATGCGTTTGATTCCTCTGCAGCCAGACTGAAGCCATTAACGCAGCCCTTCCCTTCCTGGCAGAGGATCACAGAGCTCATGAGTTGCTCCGCTTGTCCACTGATCCACGCAGATGCTTTCATCTAACACAGGCAGGAAGTGTGCAATATCTCCACAAACTCAGCTGTGGACTGCAGGGAGGAAAGCACAGATGATAAATGTGCCACTAAAGTCTGCGGGGTTTTGGTTTTGCAGGATTTGCAACTAAAACTCCAGCAGATTTATGTGCTATGACTTTAAAAACCAAACTGTAGTTTACAGTTTGTGGTTGAACAAGCAGCGACTTATGCAGCGTAAACCAAGCACTGGATCGAACACTGGATTCCAGTTTTAACCATAAGTGGAAAATAAACGTTTTTCTGACTCGTTTTGTTTTGCTCTGTATTAAATGTAATTGTTGATCTGATAATCTGTGTCTCAGACAGACTCTCTTGTTGTCCGCCATTTTGATTGACGCGTATTGATAAGAAATTAGTTACATCAATTTTATTATTGATCTCACTTATCGATTCTCTAATTGATTCTCAAAAAATATAGAAATAAACTTTAGTCCAAAATATTTGATTCAAAGGAAAAACCTGCTTAAAGAATCAGAATTTTCTGTCATGAACATATTAACATAAAATGCAACTTTTCACACATCAACAGTTTCTGTGCAGACAATTTGAATCGTTAATTATACTCTAATTTAATGAATCAGAATATAAATGAACAGTTGATGTATGTCGGTAATTCATAATCGTTTCTCTGATTCCACATGGTCTGATATTTTAAAGCTTTTATTTATTAATTTCTTCTTCCTATTTAAGATAATAATTAGACCAGACCAATAAAAAACATCCCTAATGGAGAAATATGGGCCTAATTAAAATGTTTGTCACCTGTTAATTCATTTGGAAACATGTTTTTGAGCCTCCGATGGTTTTTTAATGCACTTCACACATTTTGTCCTCAAAGTGAGAAGCTGACATCCCAGGATCCGTTGCTGGGATCCAACAACAGTGTTGGTCCATGTTGGTCCATGTTGACCCACTAAGCAACTATTTGTTCCTAGACAAACGCTGCGGGTTCGACCTCCACCCAGGAGTTGGAGCTGCTGCGGTGGTTCGTTCCCAGGTCTGGAACCGTCTGTCTGGAGAAAGCAGGCGGTCTAAAGAGGCGTCTTTTCAGAACTCTAAATCAAATTTTTTAAACATTTGATAGTAAATGAGACTGGGAACATTACAAATAAATGAAAACTATTGAATGAATGCAATCAAATTTACAAGAGCTTAATTACCTGCATGCTATTTTATCTAGTTGAACTGCCTTATTTGATTCTTTAACTATTAATCATGAAGGTATGAAAATCTTTTCAATTGTTAAAAAGTTCATTGTTCAGATAAAATAAATTCTAGTGAAAATTAATTTCAGATTAGCGATGAGTTATGACACTGATCCCACTCAGTATGTATTACTGTAAAGGCTGATCTGCTGTTTCCTCGTCATTTCAGACATGAAATGATCGTCGGCACTGATAGTTTCATTTCCACAAACAGAAAACAGCGTGGCGACAAAAAGCAAACATGACCTTCACAAAGCACCACTGATTTCCAAACTTGTCCAGAAAGTCATTAATACGTCAGATATTTTTCTTCCACGTTGCTAAAATGTAATGTAATCTTTCAAAGTTTTGTTTGGTTTTGACTCGGTTTCAGTTCAGTGAATGATTGTTTTTGAGGAACTTTTTTTCTATTTGTCAAACTCTGAGCTGTGAGTCAGTTTGCATTAAAAGCCTCTTAAACATGGGGGGATGTGGGGTGTCAGTACGCAAATTAGCAAAAGAAAACTTCCCCAAAAAACAAAACTGTTTGGAATTGGTTTCTAGATGATACACGTGTCCCTGTTTTCATCTGTGTTTCTCTTCTATGTAGCCATTAAGGAGTTACTGAATATTTGTTCTGTTTAACGCAGAAATTACTGCTAGATCAGGGCTTGTGTGTCTTTTCTGACCTCCAGTCGGTCGTGGCAGACCTTCGTTCACACAGAGCAAGGGGAGATTTTCCTCTCCACTGTCATGACATGCATGCTCAGAATGAGGAACTGATGTAAAGCCAATGACACGTCCTGGTCCAGGAGTCAATTATTTGAATTGATTATGTAGATTTTAACATATTCACATTTTTAGCAAGATTAATTGCAAAATTCCCAGAAAACAAACAAAAACAAAGGAAACTTTGCTTCTGGTGCACAGAAACCAATCTGAGACTGACAAAGACTAGTGATGTCTTCAAGTTTAGCAAAGCCTTTGACATCTAAAATAGCATCTCAATGGTAAATAAACATGTTGCTAATGCTAATGTCATCGTCCACAGTCCACATTCCTAAGGAGACTCCATGAAAAATCAGGACTTCCTGAAACAATAGCAGAACTTTGCACCAGACCAGTCTGACGAGAAGAAATACATATACTTGTTGTTGAGCTCATATGTGTATTTATTACATAATTTAGCAGCAAAATTGTTGTTTTACATGTAAAATGTTGCTTATTTTGTCAATAAAATGCGACTAATTGTGGCCATTTAACCATTGATCGTAAATTAACCCGTATAAAACGTTTATTCGTGTCACATCACTCGATATTCTCTCACTGAACCTTAAGCATCTGTTGGTCCAATTGAACCATTTTAAAACTTCATTCTCCAGAATGAGTCTTGCTTTGAAAACAGGTAAATTCATCACAGCTGGGAATGTAAATCGCTTCATCAGCCAGCTGTGACTAAATATCTGTAAAACACAACTTTATTCACCAAAGTGTGTAAAAACTCTGAAACCGACCTACCAGACTCTTCCACCTGCCTCATGGTTCAACTCATCAACTCTGGCATTAAATTAACTCCAATGAATGCAGGATAAACTGCAAAGAGCCTGAAGTGGTGCTTGTTTTCCATACAGAGGTCAGCTGACTCCCTGCTGCTGTCAGAACAGCTGCATAAACCTGCAGCAGATTGAAAAAACTCCCACATGGGTCCCGTTAGCGGTCTGAAACAAACCAGATGACGCTCTGGGTGTGAGCGTCCACAGGAAACAGCAAACAGATCGAGGCAGGGGGTCCGGACTCTGAAAGGGTCAGTGAGCAGAGCAGAAAGCGGGTCACTGGTTCTGGCTGAGCCCAGCTGAAGCTGTTGCTTAAACTAGGAAGAAAAAAAGTTCAGGAATGTCACCACTCAGTTTTATGCAAGAGGAGGGTTTTCCAAGATTTGTTTGTGCATCTTCTGTCCATCAAACATCAAGCTAACCGACTCCAACCTCTAATCGCAGCTTTCAGGCTCTTATAATAGCAAACTGAAAATAAATAACGTTATAAATCACGCTGCTCATGCAATAAGAGAACTTCTGCTCTAAATAATGGTTGGAAACTATGTCAGGCTCCAGCACCACCATTCACACAACTTTCCACACTGAAGGTCAGCAAAGAAAAGACTTGGATCCTTTTCTGTTAACTTTTCTTTAAATCTCTGATCTGGACTTTATTCACATTGATGTGGAAGAAAAGAAGAAAGAAGGACGACGAGATGAATGGAGATGAAACAGACAGACTGGCTGGGAGCTGAAGGTCCTCAACATAAAATCCCAACATTTCCACCGGAGCTTATTAGACTTTAAGAGAGAACGATAAGTGGGTTTAGCGACATGAACTCCAAAGTTTTATCATCATTGTCATAACAATAAAAATGAACTATTTATTTATTCATTTTCAGGTAAACATATGGATATGATTGCTTGCCACAGACAGAAATACTTCTCATGAAAAGAAATTCAGCATAAATAATAAACTAAATGATATGATTAATGCCCACTGATAGCCTGTTGGTGATTATGGTGGATGCTCGCTGCGGGCCTGACCAGCCTTGTCACAAACTCTTTGAGAAGAGGGAAATATTTTTGAATACAAATATTTCTACCTCTGACTGAAAACTGAAATAGATTGTCATAGTTTTTTTCTGAAGGGTTAATAATCCAAAACATGTGAGCAACTCTTTGCAGAAATGATTTGACTCCACAAACCTGCAGACTGACAGTAAACAGACGGCCTGATTCCAGGTTCGTCTGCAGAGTTCAGGGTCAGTTTTCTGTAACTGGAGCTGCTGATTCCCCACCAAAATGAGATCACGTTTCATAACCTGCAGACTTCGGTTCTGTCCCAGAAAAAGCAGCTTTAGCAGGAAAACAGAAGAAAGCTGCCATCAAAACCCTGAAAGAAACACTAATTAGCTTCGTGACCCAAAAACCAACAAACTCAGTTATTTTTCTTATTTCAATTCCTTTCTGCTGACTCTTTCCCCATCGCAGGAAGGAACTGCAGCTCTTTGAGCCAAATGTTCTTTTTTCTCTTTAGCTAATCTCTTCAGCAGATTCCATACAGGCTTAAAATGAGCAAATCGAGGAGGTTTGGAGTGTAATAAACATGCAGAGAGCAGCAGAGGCTGACAGGTGGTGAGGTATCGACATGTTTCTGCAGGAAGACATCTCTCTGTCAGCAGGAATAAGTCTGGATGGGAAAAATCCAGGAGAGCTTGGAATCTGGCTTATTGAAACATGTGAAATTAACAAGCAGAGGAGAGCATGGCTTTGATTAGAGGGGCTTTTTCACTGCTATATTAAACAAAACAATAAGCTTTGTTCAGAGAAATTACTTCAAAGTTAGTTTCAATTCAGTTTTTATTGTCTCAGTTATCTTTGGCGTTTGTTTTGCCTCTCTTCTATAAAGGCGATAATACCATGTTATTACCATGTTCTCCAAATATTAAAACACAAATTTATGATAGTACTGATTCTAATTTCGTTGTAAAAATCTGAAATTCTGGATGATCCTAAAAGTTTTATCCAGATTAAACGTTTTCTTTGTGGACATTTTGGGCATTTTAGGAATTCTAGAAATTTGCTCTCAGTTTCTCTTGTTGGAGTCTTAATGTCTGTAAGCTCCAAACATCATAAAACATGGTTAAAATATTGAAAACCAGTCACATGGCTGTTTAGATAGAATCCACACAGAAGCATTTGTGTTTAGAAATCCAGATTTTTATCTTGTTCAAAAGGAAACAAGGATGAATTGTCTTTTTTGCACAATTATGACCAGAAGTTCTTTGTTTTGTTTGTTTCTGGGATGTTGTAAGAGTCCAGAGGAGGGGTGAAGGTACCAGAGCGTCCAAAGAAAACAAAAGCTTAGTTTCATAGCACAACACTGACCTAATGCTTCAAAGTTCTGTGGAGGGGCAGAGAGGAGAACCGAAAAACTCTGGGATGTTTTTGAGTCTTGTCCACAGAATTTATGAAACTTTTCATTAAACATTAGCTTTGAACTTTTACCACTTTTTTGCAAATTTCTCCAATAAACTCTTTTCAGGGGAAAATTAATTGGAAGGTAAAAAGCAGTTTGAAACTTTTATACCAACTTTTAAACCTTTTACAGTTGCATTTGCTTCAGCATGAAGTCAAACCCAGCGTGTCAGAGAGCTTTAGGAGAAATAGAAACTTTTTCATGTTGAACTTTAAAGAGTTGCGATCAGGTTCAGTGACCTGCCTGATGGACCAGGAAACACGCAGCACATCTGACTCGCTCCAGGCTGGAAATGAGCGACTCTGCTCAGACTAATGCAGGAAAACCTCAGCGTGCATGCAGAGAGACTCCACTCACCTGAAGCCTCTCGGAGTTTCTGCTCTTCTTCTGGCTGCTGTGCAGGATGGAAAGCATCAGTTCCGGCTGTGGTCAAAACAGCGACAGTCCCATGGTTAGAAACAAACACAAAGGCAAGCGAGGGTCAGAGGGAGGTGAGACAGGAGGAGGAGGAGACAGAGGACAGGCGCGTATGTCGCCCCCTGCTGGCTGAATTCAGAAACTGCGCTTTCTCTCTTTTACTTTTCACTTAGAAGCTGGAAAACAATCAATTATATGATAGAAAAATCAATTTATTGACCACTAAGTGAGACTTTATTTCTGTTAAGTATGACAATTTTCCAGTTACAGCTAAAAAAACATTTAACATCAGAATATTTCATCACGTGAATAAAAAACCCAATAAAATAAAACATGTAGCCTGAGTGAAATGTTTGATCAATACCTGCTTAGAGTTTGTTGGTTTTCAAAAGGCGTCCAACAAATGAGTTTCACTGGAATGCATTCATGGATAATAACTGTTGGTGTAATATAATTAACCTGATAGTTGAATATCCAAATTAAGAACAATAAATATCTTTTTTTTTAGCGCATGTATCTGTTTATTTCAGTAATCCATTCTGCTATCACCATAATCCTGGATGGAGGGAACAATCATTACTCTGCTCTGACAATATTTAGATACTTTTATCCATTTTCTGCTTAGCAGCAGGATGTCTGAGAAGGTAAAAAAAGCCCAACAACAAGGAGGATAAGAAGAAATCAAGCATCAAGTCAAACTGGACACTTCTAGCTTTTGTAAGTCAGTTTATTGTGAGAACATTTTCTTCTCCTTCTGGTTCTTCCCAGAGGTCAACAAAAATGAATCTTTTACAAACTATCCAAAAGACTTGACAACAATAATAAACAGATCTAACTGCTGCAGATCTATGTTCTAAAGAAATCTGTTTCCAGAGTTTAAAGTAGCGACTTTCCCCTGATATGTACAGCATAACCCGAGCAGTCAGAGCCTACTTGAGTTAGAAATGCGTTAAAATCACATAAAGGAACTTTAATAGTTATAGAGGCATGCAAAAAAAAAAAAAAAAGCATCTGTCTCTGTGTTGGAAAATAAACCCAATCCAGCTGCTTCAGTGGATGTGTGAAGATGCTCAGCAGCGCCCTCTGGTGGGAACTGGGAGATCAGCACATCCATCAGACGCTCCCGGTTTGAAGCTCATAAAAATAAATATCAACAAATACTTCCATATTTAGTTTAAACACATGCGGAAACAGAAGTAATACTGTAGAAATGGATCTTTATTTTTTTCTCTAAACGGTTTTCATTATGGGCATAAATGTTGGAATCATTTTAGGCATTTGGTGATTTATTTGAGTTTCTCCAGGGTGGAATAATTAGACGACAAAAAACTGCAGTGAATTTTGAAGACAACGTTGATGGATGCACAAATGCATTCTGCTATTCAGGCTGTTTTCTCTGATTCAAATAACTGCTGTAGTTTTAAAATGATTTTTTTAGTTTTCTCAAAAACGCAGCAAATCTCCCAATTGCTGCGTTTTCATTTAATAAGAGAAGCAAATAAAATCACACGTGAAAACTGCAAGTCATTAAACAACCTAAACGCCACGATCCTCAACTACTTCCTGTCGTCTTTATGGTTTGCGTCAGTGGAATCATCCGGTTGTTGATCATGTGACTCGTGATGTGAAAAGATGTTTCCACTGCAGTTTAGCAAAATAAGGCAATTTCCATGCAGCTCACACTAATGTTAAAACATTTTTTAAACAAAAAACAAGAGGTTCTTTCAAATTGCCGTGTTTCCATTAAGCAAATTAATTTATTTTCAAATTGTGCAATTTTATAGCCAATAGAAATGCAGGTAATGAAAGATATGCAGATATTTGGTTAAATATTAATGGTGAAAATCTACAATTTTAAAAAAATAATTGCAGTTGAATGTTTTCTCATTATTCCACCCTGAGAAACAGAGAAGAGAAGCAAAAAAAAAAGTTCAAATAAATAAGAAAAACCCTAAAGTTGATATAACATTAATGCATCTTAACTCCTGCCTCTAGCATTAAAGTCTGAAATATGAGACTGCAGAGGAATAATACGCTGTAAAAGCTCAAATGCTGGCATGCCATCACTTTCTGTTCTCCTCAAACCAATCTTTTACGGCCACAGTTCATCACTAATTTACCGCGAGGAGGAGGACGACGCTCCCCAAAGTCTCATGTGTTTGAACTAAACTGTACAAAACTCATAAATTATAAAGATCTGTAAAAACAACATCAGTAGTTAGATTAAATGTTAGGTGTGGCGCATCGCAGAGTTCACCGTGCGCCTCGGAGAGCACTGACTGCTGTTCAGACATGATCTTTGAATAAGTTAATTCATAAATAAATCATGATGATGTCTTCCCAGAAGCAGTGGCATCCACACACAAACACGCACACACACACATGCTCAATCTATGACCCTTACCCTAAAAATACTTTTTGGTTTTAAACAACAACTAAAAGACTAACAGGAGGTCTACAGGTACACACGTCCAGAAAACTGCAGACCGCTCTTACAGAAATATATCTCTCTACGTTAAAGTGACAGTGCTGGATTAGGTCCCTTTCATTCGTGGGTTTGGTAAAACCACATCTACTTGGATATGGAGGAAAACAGCCTATATAGTAAAAGAGTTAAACGTGTAGATTCTCTCTGAGTGCGAAGCGACCGCTGAGGCGAACCGCTGTGGCGAACCGCATGCAACGGAGCACGGAGGACATGTTGAAGCAACACCAAATATCACTTAAATGCTTCTTCAGGCCCTTCGGTTGTGCAGAAAAACTGAATTTCAACAGTTAAAATAAGTACCTATATAATCCTCAAATATATACAGAGAAATTTCTATTCCACTTAAAAATACCTTAATTTTGTGCTTAAACCCAAACTTGTAAAAATGCTAAAAATCGCTGATTCCTCTCTTACATAACAGGAGCTGCTCGCCTAACTGTCCGCCATGATGCTGTTCAGTTCAGCCAAAACTGTTTGACTGGCAACAATCTCCGCTGCCGGGGCGCCATCTTTGGCATCCAATCCGCTTCCAGAAGCGAACCCAAACCTTCTGCGTCTTCCTCAAGACGTTTCAAACGAAGCTGTGGTTTCCTAAGCAAAGAAAAGGTCGGACTCGATTCCGAGGCGCCAACAAACTGGAAGCCATGTTGAGTTTCTCTCCCTCCACAAGCCAGCGCACGATGACGAAGAGGAGGACGAGGAGGAAGAGGCAGAGGGACGACGGGGTCAGTGGATGTCTCTGCACATGGGGAGGTTGACGAAGATGAAGACGTTGAACTCGATGAGGACGGAGAAGCAGAGGAAGACGGCGTACATGACGATACAGGCCAGGCCCAGCCGCCAGTCCAGAGTCCATTTGTTCAGATGGACGCCGAGGACCTGCAGGGACGCAACAACTTCAACTCAACCATTCCTGAAAAACACACCCGCCATCTGCAGAAACAATGTCTGAATGAGGTCAATATTGATATTTAGTGGAACAGCTGTCAGTTATGTCTCAGCTGGATTCGTGCTCATTTTTAACCACATCCTCCAAATTAAGACGGAGAAACTGCAGCGGAGCTGAAAACTGTTTTATTCCACCCATAAAGCAAACTTTCTATCTTCCTCCACTTCTGTAGTTTTTCTAACGTCTCGCTCTGTGGAAAGATCATCTTAATAATTGTTGTAACCATTCCCTTCGTGTTCCCTTTGGTTTCCTTCCTGACAGAAAGTACTGCAGGCTCAATGTTTCCATTTTTCACTTCCTTTCCTGGAGGAGTCCCTGAATTTCAATGTTGAGCTTTAATGTGTCCAGTTTTCTCCCTACTCTGATCCACTGATGGAGAATTTAGGTATCAACTTTGTTTACTTTGTTTTTTTCTTTCTCTTAGAAAGATCCCCTGGCCCAGTGTTCTGTGTTTAGCTTTTCTCTGGTTGGAGCTGCAGACGGAGGATTTAAAAAAGGCTGACATGTTTTAATGCTTCACTGAAAAAACAGTTTCACAACTTATGTAAATTTTTTCTGGTTTTGGTTTTGTTCTTGCGACTTCTCAGTGATCTGATTCGGTTAGTCTCTGAGTTTTCAGTGTGTGTGTGTGTGTGTGTGTGTGTGTGTGTGTGTGTGTGTGTGTGTGTGTGTGTGTGTGTGAGTTTGCAACCAAAACCACTGATTCTGATGTGTTTAGAAATATGTCGAGGAAATTTTGAGATATCTGCTTTTCCTGCCCTTTTCGCTGCTCGCCACATCGATCCAATAAACTCACAATTATGAATTAGCGCAAAAATAAAATAAATAATAATAATGCGTGGATGTGTTGAGTTAGCATGGATTTCCACAACAGCCTGCGACTATTTTATATTCTTTTTGACATTTATGTTGGGGGTTGTAATTCAGCTACAGTCTGTAGGGAGAAAATAATATTCTGCAAAAATTAAAAAATAGTAACCTAGTCGGTAAAAAAGGAGAATGCTGCCCTAAAATAATGCATAAAAATGGAAAACAGACTTACTGTAAAGAAGACTGAGGCCAGTAAAATCCCAACAGAGAAAATGAGTCCTCTGCTGTTCAGATGGACCTGAGGGGACAGACGTTACACAAAATGGTTTGAATGAGCTTGAATGTTAAAGAAAACTCCTGATCTGATCTGTTCTGATCCGATCTGGTGTGATTCTGGGTCACAAACACTCACGTTGGAGCCGTAGTCGATGCAGAGCGTCTGCAGCGCCCAGGGAAGCCCCAGACCCACCAGGATGTCGAACACGTTGCTGCCGATGGAGTTGGAGATGGCCATGTCTCCCAAACCTGAGACATTCAGTTTCACTTTTAGTCACAGAGGGAAGCTGGTTTGCAGGAGGCATCAGAAACAGGCAGCAGAGCAACAGCCTGGCTGATGAGCTGCACGGCTCCATCAGGTGTTCGTACCTTGGCGGGCCACGATCACGCTGGCCATGCAGTCTGGGACGCTGGTGCCGGCCGCCAGGAAGGTGATTCCCATGATGACATCAGGAATGCCGAGAGTGAAGCCGATCACAGTCACCTGGAA